AAAGAGGTAAGAATTCATTCATAATGAAATGATACAGATAATTTAAATCCCTTCCAGTAAAGAAATGAATTCATTAGAGAATCATGAAATAACTAACCTATTAATTTTGCTATATAGACATATAAGGAGTGTCAACATATTTTAAGTTGCCAGGTATGGTGGTGCACTATCATCTAGTAGTTAAGAGGCTAAGAAAGAGGACTAGAAGTTCAAGGTCAGCCATGGCTATGAGACCATAGTGGAGGGGAGGGGGAAGAAAGGCCATTAAGTGAAACTATACATTTAAATTACACATTAAGTGAATTATATGTTTAAATTATAGTATTGTGTCTACATACTTATTTAAAATGCTGATAAACTAGATAGATAGCTAACAGACAGGAGACTATGAAGACAGACCTTTTAGCAATGTTTTTTTTTCTGACAAAAAGAATGAGCTTCAGATGAACAAAATGGAGTTTTTGACTTGGTTATTATATAAAACTTTTCTGTTGATATTGCAATGATAATCTTTAAATTGGATTTTACAATTTTTGTAAAAATTACATTAAAAAGCAAAAATGGAAGAATTTCATATTTCCACAAGATGAAAAAAAGTAATCATTAACTTAATTCAATTACTGCCTGAAAAGATTTCAACCATACCATTCTAGACAGGAACATGATATCACTACTCAAAGTCTTAATAGAGATTTTTAATTGGTATATTATTTGATATATAACTGTGTTTTTACAAGTAATTTAGGTGAGCCCATGCGCTACTCCAAGGATTGAGTAAATTGCTGGAACTTGAAGGAGTTTTTGGGACCCTAAAGATCTGCCTCCCCATTCTACAACAAAGAAAAGGAACAAAAAAAAGAGCTGTTGATTTTAGGCAGACAGGTAATTATACCACCAGTTCACTAAAAAGAAATCAACCTCCTTGCTCTTAGTCCAGGCCTCCACTAAATCTAATTGATTTTATTCCAAGTACTTTGTAATAATCACATGTGCTTCCTGAATTTTTTTTATTTCCTAATCCCATGTCCAAATCATCTAATTAAAAAGAATTTCAGATTTATAGACTCCAGTAGAGAACCAAGAGAATTTAGCATGGCCAAGGAATTTTTAAACTTCCTCTTACCTAATGTTCTTGATCTTAAAAGAGAGAATACCACTTGAGTAACTTGCTACACCCAGTGGATGAGACACAAAACTAAAGAGAACCAGCTGTCCCAAGTCATAGGACTTCTATATTTTATACAAAATTACAGAACAAATCAATAATCACTGGCTAACAAGATGACTCTGGGGACAAATCCCTCAATTCTTTGAAGATAACTTTTAACTATTAAACAAACAAAGTCAGTTGCCTGAGTTGAATAAAAAAACCCTGATCTTTTTAAAGTCAAGAAAGTTGTAAGATTGAGCTCAATACACAGTCAATAATAGGGTCTCAGAAGTAAAACTGCCCAATGTCATTAGCAAATTTTGAATTATACATAACAAGAGCAACGAACCAGAAGAGTTATATTTAGGGAGTCCCTGGACTCGAATTTGGAAGAGAAATAACAGTGAGTGACTCTGTAGCTTTAGATTCAGTAGGGTCCTTCAAGGTCACTCACAATGAATACAAAGTTACCATATGCTTTAATTATACACCTATCACAGGACTTCTAAGAAGTTAACTTTCATTAACCTCCGCCTTCAATTCTTATTATTCCTTTTCATTGATGTAAACATGTACCATATGTATACAGTGACAACAAATCATATAAATCGTATGTTATTGGTCCAAAAATCACTTTCCTTTAAAAACAGCACTCACCACTATTAATGAAAGAAAAGAATAAGATCTAGGTCTGATGGATCTGAGAACTTTACAAGAATGCAATCAATCTTTTCTGGACATTCACGATTGGTAGACCTGAAGTCCTATTCACAATTATTCCTCAGTTTGTATGTTGATATCACGTAGCACTTACACACGCACACGCACACACACACACACACACACACACACACACACACACACGAGGAGAGTGGGTAGAGACAGAGAGAATTAAAGAATACAACCATTCAGATGATTTAGGAGAGTCCTAGAGAATCTTTTCTAAGCCTTCACAACCTTAGCATAAGGAATATAAGAAAGTAGGCTGAAAAGATGGCTCAGTGATCAAGAACACTAGCTGCTCTTCAGAAGACCCGGGTTCAGTTTCCAGAACCCACATGATGGTTTACAAACACTTGCAACTCCAGTTCCAAAGCATCCAAGGTATTTTCCTGTCATCCATGTGCATCAGGCACACACAGGTGCATGGACATGTATGCAGGCAATATATCCATAAGAAGAATGTAGAAAAACACCTGTTCAAAATCCCTTCCTAGTGAAGCAAATTTTCCTTTGGTCATTCAGTCTATTTTCCAATCAAATAAATACTATTTTTCTAAGCATAATCTGTTATTTTCTCTCTAAGTGGCTGAAAACCTCTTTTCTAACAGAGCATACTACTTTTAACAGATCAAGATGACAATTTATCATTCTGAGGAGGTTATTCAGGTTTAGGATCCCTCCATTTTCCCATGAGTAAATCCACTGAATTTGGTTCTATCCTCTGAGCTTCTGTGTGGGCTTTTGGAAATTCTATACTTTGACAACTTCAGATGGCACAATACTTGGGAGTAAGTAAAGGCTAAATTATTGAAAAGGCAATAGTTTGGAGAAATATTTGCTTAGCCTGGTCCCCATAAGAATCTAAAAATAGAACTGGGAATTAATGTGCAACTTGTGGGAAAACTAAAGGCTGCTCGCTGGCAGGAGTTTCTGTTCTTCTTCCCGAGTTGACAAAGTATAGGCTTCACTGAAAAGGCTGAAAGGAATATGTAACCGGAAGGTGAGCTGTGCATCATTTGGGTGTCTGTGGTATGTGATTGCTGAGTGGGTTAAGGAAGCTTTAAGCTACCACTACCACAATGCCTTCAATGGTGACACAGGCTAACTGTCCACAGGCGGGTGAGGGGAAATCACATCTCAGGAGAAGCCAAGAGTGAGGGAAATGTATTGCAGAACCAGACTGTTCCTCCCCAACAGTACTCCAGAACACAGATGCTTCCTGAAATCCAGGTGCCACCAGAAAGGGAAAAGTACAAAGTAGTAAGTGTACGTGTGTGTGTGTGTGTGTGTGTGTGTATAAAAAGACAATGAGCTTATGTGGTGCTTATGTAACTAGCAGAAAGGTGAGTCAGCAATTAAAACTAGAGAAGATAAACAGCTGCAATATGGACCCCTTTTATTACCTCAGACTGGGGAAGAGAGGTGGGGTTGAAAGTGTGGGTCCAAGGCTACCTAATAGTCTGCCTCAGCGGCAGGTCCAGAAAGTATGCAATTAGGACTATGCAGACAGGCCCAGGGAAATTCTTTTATAGCCCTCAACGTGGAAACTAGAGCTCAACAGATTGAATATAACTGTCACCCATGGTTCTCTCAACAAGCTCCTGCATCCCAGAGGAATCTGCCAATTCCTTCTATATGTCCTCTGCAACTCACAGGCTCTGAAAACCTCACTCTCACTGACACAGGGGATCTAAGTCGCCCAGAGTTCAGCATCTGCTGCCTTCCCTGAACTCTGGAGCATGACCTATTGCATTTGATTCCAGGTCAATCCTGTCTTGACCCAAACAGCAAAGTTCAGCTCTCTGATGGCCAAACTACATCTTCTAAAATGGGATTCAAAATCCCTCCAAGTGTGTTCTTCTGGAGAAACGTTCATCCCCAGGGTACCTGTCTTAGGGTTTTTATTGCTGTGATAAAACACTGTGACCCAACTTGGGGAGAAAAGGGTTTATTTCAGTGTGCAACTCTCCAGTCTTGCTCCATCTCTAAGAAAGGGCAGGGCAGGAACTCCAGGAAGCTGGAGGCAAGAACTGAAGCAGAGGCAATGGAGGAACACTGCCTATTGACTTGCTAAGCCTGCTTTCTTACACAACTCGATACCATCTGCCCAAAGATAGCATCATCCATAGGCTAGGCCTTTCTACATCAATTATCAAATAAGAAAATGTACCATGAGCTTCCCTAGAACTAGTCTAATGGAGGCATTTTCTCAATGGAGATTTTCCTTACACGGATTACTCTTATCTTGTGTCAAGTTGCCATAGCCACTAGCCATAGCTAGCAAGAGTCTGAAGAAATACTTGCTTAGCTTGGTCTCCATAAGAAAACAAAATTACGACTGGGGACTGGGCATTAATGTGTAACTTGTGGGAAAACTAAAGAGTGCTCGCTGGCAAGAGTTTCTTCCCGAGCTGACAGAGGTAGATGCCTCACTGAAAAGGCGGAAAGGGAATGTGTACCTGAAAAGGTGAGCCAGCACAGTTGCAGTCTTCTTTACTCTTAGAGCTACTGCTTAGCACAGTTAGAAATTGTTCATTTTAGCCTTCACCCATTTGATCTACTATCTGGTTTCCAAATCCTGGTTAGAGCAGGAGTGCACCATCTACCTTGTTTCAAAACCTAAGTCCCCCACTTTTTCACTGATGTGTTCCTCAACTAAAACAGACGAGGAAGTTTCCCTCTTCCAACCTCAGATTATTCCCCTACACATACACATCTAGTTAGAGGACTCTGCAAATGTCCAGGCAGGATTCCATCTTGACTCTGGGCAATGCACATGGCAATAATATGTCAGGATACAACCCTGACTTTATCAAAAGAATGAATCCAATTTGCCTTTCAAATATGCTATATAGCACATTGTGCCTTGAAATTCTTTGTCAGAATTTTATTCTAGTGCTTGGCATTTCAATGCTAGATAAGGTCTCAGAAACTAGACAGCAAATTAGTTGAATTGCTGGTATCATGCTGTAGTAGCTACTGTGATAGAATTTCTGCTCACAGTACTATTAACTGAAGGTCTAACTGTATGCTAGAGGCATATGTAGAAAACCTGATTCCTGATGTACACAGCTCAGAGAAAATTCTCTATATTTACACAGTGTCCTTGTCTCAACAGTCCACTTACTGATAAACTTGTTTTGCATAGTCTCCAACAGAGCTTGGTGAGCATCTTCAGCTTGTAAAGCGCGTGAACATTCTCTAGCCAGTATGGTGCGCACAAGATGCTCTCCACATCCTACAAGTCCAAGAAAAACACGGTTGAGGAAAAGCAATACTGGATGCTTTGCTTGTCTCAATAAATATAAAACCCCCTTATGCACAACTTACAATGTAGTTGTGTAACAGAACAACTCAGTGAGGGAACAAACTGACTTCTGCAAACAGTCTGGTAATTTTAGTAATGAGATTCAGTACAACATAAAGAAACATAGGTCTATTTGATCTCAAAAGAAAACAGATAAAAATAAAGGAACCCCCTCTTTCAGAGGAATAATGTATGTAAGACAGGGATGCAGATTCCACACCTAGGGTTCTGTCTGATTCCAATTAATGAGTAACTACACACCATCCGGTTGGGTGGTTTAGTCTCCCATTCAAAAATATGGTACCTATAGCTGTCAACCATTTTCTTTCTGATTCTCCACTTCCTGGGTGGCTGGGGAGAAATGTAGGCATCCAGGTACAGTCTAAATTTCTCTCTACCCACTGTTTGTTGTTCAAGAGAGTCAGATACCAACAGTGTGAGGAGGACAGAATAAAACAGCCCTGTCTCACATTCACACCACTCTCAGAAACAAAACCTCTATGTCGTTCTAAAGAAAAAGTATATTTAGGGGATAGAGAGATGGTTCACAAGTAAAGAATGTGTTCTTACAGAGGACCTAGGTTCAGTCCCCAGCACCTACAACTGTCTGTAACTCTGGGAGATCTGACACCCTTTTCTGACTGCTGTGGCACCAGGCACACACATGATGCACATGCATTCACAAATGCAAAACATTCATATACATAAAATAAATTAAGAAAAAGATGGAAGGGAGTGAGAGAAAAGGGGGGGTAAAGGAGGGATGTGGAAAGAGGGAGGGGGATTGTAACTGTGAGATGAACTTGGAGAACTCAGACACATTTAGTAAAAGTAGGCTCAGACACGTTTGTACTGATTAAGAGTAATGAACAAACGCTTTATGACAGTAGCTACTGTGAAAAGTAAAGTCAAAAGAGACTTTATGGATTGGTGAACTCTAGTAGAAGATTTCTTAGATAGCAGTTTTGAAGCAGTTTCCTTTCTACCAGAAAACTTTTCAATATTTAAATCTGGTATTATGATCTAAGTGTCTGTGGACCTAAAGGCCAGGCATATTTCAGCTACCTTCAGAAGGAGCTCCCTAAGAGTGTTGAGGATCCACCAGTAGGACTAGGCACAACTTAATATGTCTGCAATATGCATAACAAAGACAAACACACACATGAACAAGGGAGAGTCTTAACAATTAAACTAAAACTCGGACTAGAATAGCTAAGTTAAGCAACCCCTTTTTGTTTGTTTAAAAATTCATTTATTTTTCTTTTAAATATGTGCATCAATGTCTGTACAAGCCTGAGGTTCAGAGGCCAGAAGAGGTGTCAGATCCCTTGAAACTAGAGTTGCAGACAAACAGTACTTAACTGCCATGTGGGTGCTGGGAATCCAAACCAGGTCCTCTGGAAGGGCAGTTAAGCCACTTAACCACTGAGCTGTCTCTCTAAACAGACACTACTTCTAAATAATGGCTTGCAGGGGGTGGGGCAATGCTAAAGATGAACTCTAGCTAGGGAAGAAGTCAACCACAGAGCTCCACTTCAGCCCCACAAACCCTTACATCCGTAAATAAATGAAAACTGACACAGTACTCAGCTCTCCTCTGGGTAGTATTACTGTGATGAGAATCAAGCACTACTGACAGATCTTCAGAAACATTATCTGTAATGAGCTTTAAGCCATTTTGCCACCTTTCATGTAACAAATATCCTCTTCATACATACACCTCTCCTCTGTTCACTCCTCTGCAATTATCCCTTTCCTTAAGTATACATGCACATGTATTCATTTTATATATGCATATACTATGCATACTCATTGCTAAAATACCAACAGTTCATCTAAGTGTGAACACAACTTTTAAACTGCCTGACACAGCTTGCAAAAATGTCACCTTTCAAGATCTCTCTGTAAACATCTATACTTAGACAAAGCTCCACATAGAATTGAATATAGAGCTTTGTGGGCAGGATTAAATCAATCATGATCTTGTTCACTTTGTAGCATTCATTTTATAAGGAGAAAATATATAATTAAACTAATAGTTAAAAAAACATGTTGGACACTTACTAAGGAAGGACCGTGTTAAGGTCACAAAACCCCATAAATTTTAATTCCTCTTGTACTTCTATTTGATGTTGAATAATGAAATGGTATATTTTAGAACAATAGTGACAGAAAATTCACATATTATAAGCTAAATGTATGTTCAGAAGGTTATGTACACATGCCTCAAAAGTCAAACAGCTAAACCATATGAAATTATCAAAAATTCTCATGTGAGATGAACTTAGAGCAATATGCATAACACAGAAATATACACATACACACACATACACAGGTAACACATAAGAAAGAGCAGGTTAAAAAAAAAGGAAGGACTTAATAATTAAAATGACACTCAGAATAGCTAAGTTAAGCCACCAAGAGAGGGACAATATTTCCCTTTCTTATTATAGGAGACTATAAAGGTTTTCCCAATGATTGAGTTTTACTAAGACACTACTAAAATTCTGATTTATATTCTGGCATATACCTTTAACATACAGGTTAGGACCTCAAAGCTTTTTCTATTACAGATACCAATGAAAGAAAATTGGAATTTTTACTTCTAAATACCCACATTTCTTAGACCATACTGCAGTGAAACTAAATCATGACTCAAATGGTTTTCTGCCTTTGAGACACATTCTTTCCTTGCGCACACCAGAAATGCATTTCATTACATCTTTCCTTTGTCATTGCTATACAAGAAAAGGTATTTTATGATCTTACAACTTATTAAAAAAAAAAAAAAGATTGTGACTGCAACAAAGAACTGAAAACAAGCAAAGCAAAGAGCAATTCTGAAAGATGGGTGTGGTGACCCAACTCGTAATCCCAGCTTTTAGAAGGTGGAGGCAGGAAGATCAGGAGCTCAAACGCACCCTCAGCTGCACAGTGAACTAAAGGCCAGCATTACGACATGAGGATGTCTCAACATAAATGAAGAAAGGAACAAACAAACTTATTCACCAACAATAAAAATGGCAAGCAAATTGATTGAAAAGTGAATATATAATATGTTTGCAAAAGCTTTAGTCATGAGCCAGTGAAATGGCTCAGTGAGTAACAGTGCGTGATGCTAAGCCTGATGCTGTGAGTTTGATCTCAGGAAACTACATGGTAGAAGGAACAAAGCAACTGCCACAAAGTATCCTTTGATCTCAACATAAATAAATGTTTGATGCACACATAAACAAATATAATGTTAAAAATGCACTAGTCATTTTTGATATGTTAGTCCTAATATGATACGGGGGGTGGGGGGAATAAGTATTTTCTGCCTTTCCTATAAAAATACATAGAAGGTTTAAATATTTTTTCTATAGAAGTATCCTAGATGATATATAAGTGAGATATTTGACTATATCACTTATCAGTTATTATTTCACATTAACTGCTAAGGCAATAAAATTAGTGATTGCTAATATCAGAAAAAGATAAAAAAAAAAAACCAGGCCCTTTATGTCACTTGATAAAATTAAACATAGTTGTGTTCATTACCAAAACAATTACATTTGTACATGATTAAGCATATAAACTCTATTATCAATTTCCAGAAAAGGACAGCATCTACAAAAACTGCAGTCAAGTTGCTTAGTCAATAATGAAAGTCTAACTACTGTCTGTATCCATCACTTCTCTTCAGCAGTATCCTGAAGATCCAAGACATTGCAGTAAGACAAGGTAATAAAATAAAAGGAGGAAGAAAAAAGAAAAGATAAAAAGATGAGTATGGTGGCAGTTGACAGGCATAGGCAAGAGAATCAGGAATTCAAAGACAGCTCACTACACTGCAAATTCAAGTCAACCCAGGTTATAAGACCCTGTGTTCAAATAACCAAACCCAAACAAAATAAAATTTAAAATGTATAAGGTTCCAAAAAGAAGAAATAAAACTGTCCCTATTTTAAATTGATAATTTTTTTAGAAATTAAATCCACCCCCAGGAAGGGAATCTACAAAATAAACACTAGTAGTATGCCTCAAATTTTCCCACTCAGGTTAGTAATCTAGGATAACTGTCTGTAGACCTTGTCTGTCACTTACTAGTCTCCAAAATGTGGGCCTGACCTTCAATTATTCTCTTAGCCATTCGTCCACCCATCCATCCATCCATCCACTCACCCACCCACACTTCCATCCACTCATCCATCCATCCATCCATCCATCCATCTATCCATCCATCCATCCACTCATCCATCCATGTGTTATTAAGTTAATTTCTCCTAGGTCAAGTATATTAACAGCTTACACTTCTATAATTCAGAATTCTACAAAGATTATCAGATTCTGCCTGGCTGCAGAGAACTCACACAACTGTAATGCCAGCTGGCCTTTTCTATAGCACGACTATTGAGATTCTTTGCTATAGAATTTTCTATAGCACAACTACAGAGGTTCGGATGGTAACCCATTCCAAAAGCATTTCAACAGCCTTTGAGAACCAGCACCTTGGACAGGTTCTCTCCTGATAATTACAACCTTAGCTTATTTCAGCTCACTTTTCCCAGTGCACTCCCTACTGCTGAGAGTCTCAGTACACTCACATCCTTTATCGGGGAGTACCATGTTGTATAGCTTACTTCCTTTAAATGGAAACATTCTGTCCTACAGAGAGGTTCCTTAGGACTCAGGAAGTTCCTAAAACTCACAAAACTGAAGAAGAAGAAGAAGAAGAAAAAAAAAACCCAAATGATATAAGCAGTAACCCCTGCTGAGGAAAGAAGACTGTGAACTACATAGCTGCCTGTGTGAGTTACTCAGCTCCAGGAACACAGCTTTTGTGAATGGGCAGCATTCCTAGACAGACATTTATTTCAGTGACCCTGCTGACTTTGAGTCATCCATGTTCCTGTAAGTAACCCCCTCATCAATATTCATGTAAGCAATCT